ATTTATAAATGTCACTTTTTTTTTTTTTAACCTTATACTCCAGCCTAACACTTGTAATATTTTTTACCTTCTCAGCACCCTCAGGTTTTCCTATGCCTCTCTAGACACTTACGGATTTATTTAGAAATATCAGAGAAAGATCTCCAACAGGAGCATGCCAGTAAATGAAATGCAACTTAAATAGCATAAACTTGACTTGTTTCATGATGGTAGTAATCCATAGTCCTTTTTCAGAAGAGCAAGCTTACCAAAACTGGTTTCTCTCCCTTACTCCTCCTAAAATGTTTATATTTTTGTTCCTCAACCAGAAATATTCTCATTTGGAAAATAGTTCTGTTGCTCTCCTTTCCTACTCTTCTGTCCAGGCCAAGAAATGAGGCAACTTACCAGCTCCTGTTTAGGGGATATCCTGGGAGAAATAATTGCAATCCGAGTAGCAGAAAGTGTGGAGATGAGGCACCCAAATTGTACAAATCATAAGATACCACAAATGCACTTTCAAATGGAAATATTTTGGACTTTTTTTCTGAATTCCCATGATTCTTAAGTGAGATGTTTCATTTGGCAGATGAAAATTTCCATGGAAACCAGCTGGATTTGTGAAAAAGTCAATTTACTAAAACTCCATAATTTTCCATTGTGAAAGAAACCAGAAAACAGATGACTCCACTTCTAATTGGTTTGAAAACAGCTTGGAGGTGAAGCCCAGGCTTCAGCCAGTCCTGTCCTATCCACCTGCTGGACTGTAGGTCCTTTAGCACAGAGCCAAGGATGCAGTCACTTTGCTTCATTTCCCGTACTTTAAACTCATTTCATATAGTCACTTCTAAGACATAATTGATGCAATTTTATCTCTTTTAATTGAAATAAAATATTTATGGGGAAGAATAAGGCAGTTGCTGTGCTCAAGATACTCAGCATTTTCCTATGCAGCATTTATTTCTGTCATGCTGCAAATACCTCTCCTCTATTTGGGTTATTATATGACAATGCTAAATGTATAAAGTTTGTTAGTAATGACATTAATTTATGAATTATTTCTTCCAATGCAGGTTGACTCCTAACATTGAAACTTACAGTTTCTGTACAATAATTAACATTTATATTGCTCTCTGTACTTTCAAAACACAGTTATTGGCTAATTCATAATACACTTCTGATCCTTAAATGTGGCTGTGCTGGTTAACAAAATAATCTGAAGAGAGTTATGAAAAGTCAAGGAGAGAGTCAGCACCCACTGACTGTCAGAACTCCAGTGTTCTCTTTCACAACACCACCACCACTTCACTCCACTTTGCTTCCAAATATTTGTAACTACAGATTGCATAATTTTACAGTTTTGCTGAATCCAACCCAAGAATGATAACAATGTGAACTCTCTTCTGGTAGTAAATTCTGAGATAGACTTACAAACAGCTAGGAATGATTACTAGCAACCCATGATATAGAAGGTACTTACCTTACACTGAGTGGTTTTCCTTTATAAAGGAGATGAATTTCTAAGATAGATGCAAATTTCAAAGGCATATAATTGCAGGAAAAAATAATGCGGCTACACTACCCTTCGGACCCAAGCTAGATTATATTTGTGTTACCCTGCAAGACATGTAGGCAGATCACCCTTATTCAGACCCAGCTTATATAATTTATATCAAGGGCTGCTCAAATGGTTTAGGTAGTGGGGATCTGCACACAAAATTTTGCACAAACACATACATACACCTGTGTAACACAATGGAGCTTTAAAAGAACGATATTGAAGAGTATTATGTGCACATACACACACATACACAAAACCTTACAGCCAACACTGGAGTGCCCAGCTACACAACTTTTGCACTCGGTCCCCGTTGCCACATACCTGTCTCTACAAGTCTGGGGACAGCCGGCAAAATATCCATAGCTGACTGCTTTCCATGCCCATTTTCATATAATTTTTGTTTGTGTTGATGCCCAGACTGGTGCAAAAGCAAACTAAAAAAAAACAGTTTGTGGCAATCAGTCTCAGCTGTCCACTCTGTGTGCTCTCACATGTGCCATCCACACTTGACACAAGAGGGAAGGAAGACTCAGGCATGGCACTGCAAATGCATGACGACTCTGGAACGTACTTAAGTGTTATATACATATACATGGAAACTTGTTACATGTCACTAAACACAAAACGACAAAGAAAGATTTTAGCAAGGTTTATAAAGTTTTGGTGGGGGTGGACCCCACTATATACAAGGCAAGACCCGCCCTGATCTTTATTGTGTAGTTTATCACCACATAAAGTTATTCTGAAATGCTGAGTGGCGAGATTTGCAAAAGCAGATGATGAGTTTCACAACATCAGTTTTGGGGGGCCAGTGTAGGCAAATATAAGGATCCACATTTACTAGGGAGAAAAAAACCTCAAACAAAACAACAGCAACAAAAACCTTACTCTGAGTCTCTCCAAGAAAAAGAAAAATTCTTGCCTATGAGGCATATGTATTAATCTGAAGCTAAGTAACTTCACTGACTCTTTACGTGTTTGGAACCCATTTCTTTGTGTATTTAGGCACCAAACAGTACTGATCAAATTTACAAATGTTCTTCAAAGTTTGTAAAAATCTTAATTTTCTACAGAATTCTGAGTTATTATGTGGAAATCATTTAAAAGCAAACATGCAATTTGTTAAGTGCTAAAATTGATAATTATTACTTGGGTTAGTCTTACATGTTTCCCTTGCAAACTGCAAATGGAATTAGAAAGTCACTAGAAAGTAGTTCAAGATGTCTAATAACAAAATTTCCACAACAGGTGACTGATACCAGACTTCTAAGTCCATGTTTAATTGACAAAATATGATTAAACTGAATTTAAAGAGCAGTTATCATTGATATAATTCAGCAGTGCAGCAGACTGGGATATTTCTGTTTCGGAGTTTAACTTTGAGCACCTGGCTTAGCAAATATTAACTATAATATATTTGAAACCATCTTCAACCCTGAAACCAGTGGAAAAAATGACTTACGTTCAAGAGATATCAGAGCTTCTAAAAAAAAGATGGATTCTCAGGTTAAAGTGAACAGAAATTTGTACTTTCTAGATAAAGGATGTCATGTCTTTAAAGGCTTCTTCACACTGAACTATGATTAATATTTAATTTAAAAAAAAATATATATTCCATTTATTTCAGCTTTCACTTAAGTCTCTAATGCAGCCATTATATGGTAACCCATGCAGGTGAGAGGCCGAAATCAAAGATACATAGTAACTTCAGTACATTCATCTATCATGTAAAAGGTTTTCTTAATCAAAATTAATATTCAGCAGAGGGAGTTTTTTGAAGCTGACATGACATATGACATTCTTTCAATGATTCTGCAGTTAATTAAGAATTTTCAGTGATTCTGTAGTTAAGTATTGAGATTGACAATGAAGTCTAAATCTGATTCGTATTTCTCTTGTCAACTGCCAGGTTAACAGCCATGAAAAAGAAAGTCATGTCAGAAAGAATGACGTAGATCAATATCATAGCAATGGGAAGTTATTATCAAAGCAGTTCAGGTAGCAAAGGTTTTTCAGAGGCTTTGAACTGACTTGCTGAAAAATAGTTTTATCTCAGGCACAGCTCAGCATGTGGTTTGATACTCCATATCTTCTTACTTGTCCTTCACACACACTTACAGTCAAGGAATGTGTGGCATGACAGCTGTGTAGAAATCTATTGCAGGCATCCCATGCAGCTCTTAAAATCTGGCCCTGTGGATCCCAAATTCCAGTTTCCAATGGCTTTGTGTGTGTGAGTGTGCATGTTCATGAAAACCTACTCAATAGCATTTCTGTTTTCCTAATAATGACATGATCACCTATCCATTAAGTGCTACCCAAATCAGTATTTATACTTTCACTAAATATCCCTTACATTGCCACTCTCAGCAAGTAGAGATTAAATTTAGGAAGTCACACAGAGCTGGGTAACTATTTACTATTGTAAGTGAAAACATTTTAAAAGCTGTGCAGCTGAGAGTAGATCTTCCCTTTACCTCTTTGTCCCTCTCTGTTTAAACAGCGCATGCTTTGTTTTTAATCTCTCACGCTTTGCCATCATTCTCATCCGTAGGTAATAAATGCCAATCAGTTTACCTGAAATTCAAGTTACAAGTAAATAATTATGTTTAAATTTCCTATCTTGCCTTGAACTGTTATTTTTAAATTATTTTTCTACTGGAATCATAACTTTGTTTGTGATTTTTCCCACATTTTCTCATGCCATCAAAATGGTTATTGTACTAACTTGCCTCAAGAATTATTCCTGAGAGAAAGAGTTGTCTAGTGACTAAACCAATGGCATAGCACCCAAAGATTTTATTTCTGGCTTCATTAGCAGTTCACATGGTGAGCTGTGGAAAGGAATTTTATCTGTCTGCATAGCAATTTACTAGTAGCTACTTCCTAGGGACACCAGAATAGGCTAGTTCACTTGGCCTTAGCTTTGTCCACCCGGCCTAAAGTTCCCCCTATAGGTAGTGAGAAGAGACTCATCTCATCCAAAAGGCAGAATGAGCTCAGAGGGACTTATATCTCTCCACTGAGAGACCTTGGGCAACCAACTTAGCCAGTGGCCCCATTTAATTAAAAAACCAAAAACCACCAAAAAACCCAACAAAAACCTTTTAGTTTGTATTTGCCTAGTGCTGTAATATAATAATAAAAAAATCTATGTGTCAAGAACTATAAACTCTAAAAATATGAATTATGAAAGACTGTCCCTAACACTCACATTGACCTCATTGTGGATTTTGTGCTGACAGCAGCTGCAGCAGTAGGCCAAGAAAATCCACGATATGCTGTCATCTTCTGTGATATTTAGCAATGCTACCGTAAGAGATGTCCCTGTATGGCAGACTTGCTGTCTTTCCTCAGCATGAAAGATCTCCAGAAGTGGGCTATAATCCCCACATCCTTTGGGAAACCTTCATCTTTTCATATCATGGATGTCAATTCTATCCTATAGTTGCTCTTTTGCCCTTTCTGATGTTTTGCAAGTGGAGAAAATGACACCAAAATTTCTCTTGAGTAAATGAACCCTGAACTTACAGGATAGAGTTGAAAGCCATACTTCTTTCTTTTTTTTTTTTTTTGCTTTTTAACGTATTCAAGAGCAGTTCTCTAGGAAACCCTGGGAGAACATACTTTTAATCTTAAACCAAAACATTTTGCTAGCTCAGCATTTTTACATAAATTACTGCAGAGAAAGCTCAAATTCTTAATATTCATATTCTAAGGGGACATAAGCTGAACACACGGGGATTGTACAGAAGCCTGCATACCAGCATCAGTTTAAGAACATAAGCAGCAGTAATATTGCCTACATTGTGAAATTTCATGCAGTTTATGGACTGTTTTGTATTTTCAGTGATGTCTCTGCATGAAATAATTCACCTGAAGGCAGAGAAAACCAGATTTCTTGTGAGCTTCTGAACTCCACTAAAATAAAATGTGTTAAGCTGCTCAGATGAAAAATATTTTTGTGAAGTCTTCTAGATCCTTAATAGCCCAATCATCCAGGACCAGTTTCAAGTTATCATAATAGCCTCTAAACTTGAAGTTGTGTAAGTTATCCTGGAGACTAGGAAAAGCAGAAGCAATGAAGTAAGTCAGAGCTACACTAACTGTATGCAAAAGAAAAAAAAAGTGACACTGAAGGTAACTAAAAAGCAACACAACAAAGAAACAAACTGTATCTTTGCAAAGTGCAAACATTGCTAAGAAAGAAAAGAGAACACCTTTTAAACTGAGTAGCTGGGAGTAAATATGAGCTGGGAGTAAATATGAGTATATATGAGTAAAGAGAACACCTTTTAAACTGAGTAGCTGGGAGTAAATACAAGCTTCTGAATTATTATGGTGTATGAAATGATGTCACTATGAAAGAATTAACACAGCAAAAATGTTGGTAGAATTTGTTGCTTAAAAAGTAAAAAAGAAAGTAAAGAAAATATCTTCAGTATGGAATACATTTTTTTCAGATGAAAAAGCACAATTAGGAATTGAAAAAAAGAAAAGGAGTGAGAGAAGAAAGGAACAATGAAATGGATTCAGAAATAATTTCAAGATTTCCTCTTAATCTGGTTCTGAAATGAATTATTCCTGGGCTTCCCTCCACTAACTCAACAGCACATTTCCAACTGCAGCTCTCTGTTCCTTCCACTAAGGTGAGACTCAAACGTGTGGTTATCAATATTCCTCTATTACCAGAGGTATAAATCCAGGGTATTGATTAAGCAGAGAAACTATTCCTGTAGTATCACTACAATTACAATATTGTTACTCCTATTACTGCTGAGAAACTACTAAAAGGCCAGTACCCAAATCTTTTCCATTGCTACAAGGTTTTGTTTTCTGAAAAAGCTGTCACATAAGGGCAAAAGCACAGGTGAAATGGATTTCACTTTAGTGAACTGTAAAACAGGGAAGAAAAGCATCAAGAATTTGTAGCTCATACTTAACAGTTAAATTAGCAGCTGCAAATGTAACAGCTGTTGTAAAAAGAAAAACGACTCTTTATTTGTATTCTCAATGAGGCTTATTAATGATTACCTTAACAAAACAGTAAAAAGAGGAAATCACTAAACTTTAATTAACAAATTGCCAAAAAACCCAATTAATAATCTCCAGCATGATGATTTAACAGATATACATTTTTCTGTGTACTTATAAACATAATTAAGCAGAGAAGGCTGTATATGAACAACAAAAAGCTAAACAAGACTTGCATTATAACTAAAGCTCAAAGAAAGAATTACAGAAAAAAACCCCCACATAACTTCATGTTATCACATTTAAAATGAAAACAAGAAAAGACAGGTTCTAAAAAGAAATCATGTTTTCCCTGCACAATTTCCTGCAGTTGACATTGACAACTTTATGGAAGAATATACTATTTAAGGAAGTTTAAAGGCTGTTAATAGAAGCAAGAGCTAAGTATGACTGAATTACAAAATAAGTACTTAAAATTAAACATTTATGAAAAAAGGAACTGAGAAAGCCCAGGAGTCTATAAGGAAACAGCAAATACAATGTAGCAGACTGGGATGACTACATTAAACACAAATGAATCTACACAAAAACATTTAGAAAATATATCAAAGCCATAACTTTTTCAATGCATAAAGAGTGCTGGCTATTTTAGACAAAGGAAAAAAGTTAGAATTCTGCTTTTTATAAAATATTCAGTGTTGGATGAGTTACACGGTGTAACTCTACTGGGAATGTGATCTTTAAATTTAACAGAGGAATTAAAATATAACCTTTTGTGTTTTAGGAGGATCCTACAGAGGTTTGTCTTTAAAAGGACATTTGTAAGCCCTGGTGCTTCTTCAGCTGTGGCATCTGAAGAGCCTTAGAAATATCTATCCATGCTGGGGCAATGCCCATGTACACAAGCAAAGTTACTTAGGAACTGGAGTTAATCCACAGTAGAGTGGAAACTGTGGTGAGGACAGCTCAGACAAACAGAAACGAAATACTGTGATAAGAGAAAAGAATTTGAAAGCGGATCAGGAGATTTTTAAACTGTCCTTTTCATTTTAAACCTGGTTTGTGGCAGGTTTGGATTTTTTTTCACTTGAGGTAAAGATAGCGTAAAGCTTGCAATGAAATTATAAAGCTGAAGATTTTGCTCCACCAATATAAAAATAAAAGCAGTGCATTCTAAATAGTATGCAGCAATAAGAGGCACAAAAGCTATACTTAAGGTAAGGATCTCACATGGCCAGACAAGTAGAGTACTACCTTGGCAAATGCTGCATTTTTCCTAAGGGTACCAAAGTCATATTTACTAGAACAAAAGAAGGAAACAAACCAGCAAATGCCAATCACAACATCTAACTATGTACATTAACTTCTGACATAACCTGGAGCACTCAAGAATACATTTCAGTGCCAGAGTTTTAGTTTTGAGCATAGAAATATAATTTGGTATGATTTGATGCTTTACCTGAAGTTGTGTATTGCAGCCACATAATACTGTTAAACATCTTAATTTATACAGAAATTTCTGCAACAAAGAAGCAATTTGTTGCTTAGTGAACTCCTGCACTTCTGTTGAAGCAAAATGTGTTAAAATTATTAGAAGAAGGAGAACTATTTTTGACAGCATCATCTGCAATCTGGCTAACCTCTCCTCAGTGGGCACTTCGTGGACAAGCAAGGGACGCATAGGCCTGACATTTAATCAGCTAGAGAAAACAGACTGCTATTCTGTAACTTGGTTAAAAACCTGTATCAGTAAATAAGGAAACGGTAGAAATGGAGACGTCACTGTAAAAAGACTGGTAAAAAAAAAAGAAAGAAAACCCCAGACAACCCAAAACCCCACAGCTGCCTGAATGAGACTGCAGTCCCTGGCTCCTACATAAGAGAATTCTGGTGTGTTATCACCTCCTATCAATAAATTAAGATTTGAAATAAAATTGGCATCTTCTCTGATGCTGTTAAGTAAAAAAAAAAAAAAAAGGCTCTAAGACATAGAAAAAATATATTTTGTATATACTACCATAATATCCACCTTTCTCATTAGTAATATTCATTCCTTCTAAATTACCCTAGCTGAAAAAAATTGCCTTCAACTTCTCAACAATAGTCACTTACTGAGTTTCAGCAACACAATCAACAAAAAATACTTCTAAACTTTTTTTGGTTTTATTAATCTTTGTAATAGTGACACTTTCCAGCCGAGGATAAGGAGAGGATTTTTCACCCACCTCTGGTCAGTAGGACAGTATTAAAGTGCAAGTATCACTATGAGCTAGTCCTGTTCCTTCTTCTCTCCCTAAACTGTTTACCACTGTTGGAAACAGGATCCTGAGCAAATGGGCCTTTGGTCAGACCCAGCTTGGCCATTCAAAGATTATGTTATATTCTTTAATGCACATGCATGAAATATAACCTTAATATCTTACATTCTTTGGCAATTGGATACAGTGGCTTCCAGATGAAAGCCAACTGCTGTAATGCAACTTTATCCAACTAATTAAGCTACATTAATTTTCAACAGCTGGGAAAAGAGGCTTTTAACATTCACATTTCAAAGTAAAGAAGTAAACTAGACAAAGATAAATAAATACAATTATTTATTCTTC